CCGGACTCCTTTTCCAATTTTGAACCAATCAGTGGTTCCGTGTTTGGTTCTCACTGTTGCTTCTTGACCCGCATATAGGTTTCTCAAGAGACAAATGAGATGGTCTGGTACTCCCATCTCTTTAAGAACTTGCCACAATTTGTTGTGATCCACACAATCAAAGGCTTTTGCATAGTCAATGAAGCAGAAGTAGATGTTTTTCTGGAACTCCCTAGCTTTCTCCATGATCCAGCGTATGTTGGCAATTTGATCTCTAGTTCCTCTGCCTCTTCGAAATCCTGCCTGTACTTCTGGTAGTTCTCGATCCACATACTGCTGGAGTCTAGCTTGTAGGATTTTAAGCATAACTTTACTAGCATGTGAAATGAGTGCAATGGTGCGATAGTTTGAACATTCTTTGGCATTGCCTTTCTTTGGAATTGGAATGTAAACTGACCTTTTCCAATCCTGTGGCCACTGTTGAGTTTTCCAAATTTGCTGGCAAATTGAATGTAGCACTTTTACTGCATCGTCTTTTAAGATTTTGAATAGCTCAGCTGGAATACTGTCACCTCCACTAGCTTTGTTGTTGCTCAGATTTTCTAAGGCCCATTTCACTTCACATTCTAGGATGTCTGGTTCGAGGTCAGTGACCATCTCATTGTGGTTATCTGGGATGTTAAGCTCATTCTTGTATAGTTCTTCTGTGTAGTTTTGCCATCTCTTCTTAATCTCTTCTGCCTCTGTTAGGTCTCTGCCATTTTGGTCCTTTATCATGCCCATCTTTGCATGAAACGTTCCTTCATATCTCCAATTTTCTTGAAGAGATCTCTGGTCCTCCCTATTCTGTTGTTTTCTTCTATTTCTTTGCACTGTTCATTTAAGAAGGCATTCTTATCTCTTCTAGCTACTCTCTGGAATTCTGCATTCAATTGGGTGTATCTTTCTCTTTCTCCTTTGCCTTTCGCTTCCCTTCTTTCCTCAGCTATTTGCAAAGCTTCCTCAGACAGCCATTTTGCTTTCTTGCATTTCTTTTTCTTTGGGATGGTTTTAGTTGCTACCTCTTGTACAATGTTGCGAACTTCCATCCATAGTTCTTCAGGCACTCTGTCTATCAGATCCAGTTCCTTAAATCTATTTGTCACCTCTACTGTATATTCATCAGGAATATGATTTAGTTCATACCTGAGTGGCCTAGTGCTTTTCCCTACTTTTTTCAATTTAAGCCTAAATTTTGCAACGAGAAGCTCATGATCTGAGCCACAGTCAGCTCCTGGTCTTGTTTTTACTGACTGTATAGAGCTTCTCCATCTTTGGCTGCAGAGCACATAGTCAATCTGATTTCTATGTTGACCGTCTGGTGATGTCCATGTGTAGAGCCGTCTCTTGGGTTGTTGGAAAAGAGTGTTTGTTATGACCATCGTATTCTCTTGACAAAATTCTATTAGCCTGTGCCCTGCTTCATTTTGTACTCCAAGGCCAAACTTGCCTGTTATTCCGGTTATCTTTTGGCTTCCTACCTTAGCATTCCAATCCCCCATGATGATAAGGACATCATTTTTTGGTGTTAATTCTATAAGGTGCTGTAGGGCTTCATAGAACCGGTCAATTTCATCCTCTTCAGCACCAGTGGTTGGGGCATAGATTTGGACTACTGTGATATTGAATGGTTTGCCTTGGATTCGAATTGAGATCATTCTGTCATTTTGAGGATTGTATCCCAGTATTGCTTTTCCTATTCTTTTATTGATTATGAAGGCTACTCCATTTCTTCTGAGGGATTCTTGCCCACAGTAGTATACCTGATGGTCATCTGAGTTAAATTCACCCATTCCTGTCCATTTTAGTTCACTGATTCCTAAGATGTCGATGTTCAGTCTTGTCATCTCTTTTTTGACTACGTCTAGCTTGCCTTGATTCATGGATCTTACATTCCAGGTTCCTATGGAGAAAAAATCTTTACAGCATCGGACTTTCCTTTCACCACCAGATATATCCACAGCTGAGCGTCCTTTCGGCTTTGGCCCAGTCGCTTCATTCTTTCTGGCACTACTAGTACTAGCCCTCTGCTCTTCCCCAGTAGCATATTGGACACCTTCCGACCTGAGGGGCTCATCTTCCAGCGTCATATCTTTTTTCCTTTTAGTACTGTCCATGGGGTTTTCATGGCAAAGATACTGGAGTGGTTTGCCATTTCCTTCTCCAGTGGATCATATTTTGTCAGAACTCTCTGCTATAACCTGTCCGTCTTGGGTGGCCCTGCATGGCATAGCTTATAGCTTCATTGAGTTATGCAAGCCCCTTCGCCACGACAAGGCAGTAATCCATAAAGGGGAGTTGATTCTTTAGTTGTAGTCAAAATTTGAGTTCGTATATCTAAGCTGACATCTTGTTCTTTTCTGTAGCATCTTATTTCATCACAAGCTGAAAGAATGGTTTGATGTATTGCTTTTAACATAAGGAGAATCTGTTCCTGGTCTTCATCCATATTCTCTTAGTAGTGTGTTAAATTAAGAGCTTTAAAGTCAGAGAATGAAAATAATTTTATAACTGAGTATAGAACACATCTGAGCTTCTCACAGCTGATAATTGTCAAGTTTGAAAAAGTCTTATCTGTAGTCTGGGCTTCCAGCCAAGTCTCCTTAGACCAGTGATGGCGAACCTTTAAGAGACCGAGTGCTCAAACTGCAACCCAAAACTCACTTATTTATCGCTGGGTGCCAGGTGGGCGTGGCCAACTGGGTGGGCGTGCCTGTGGTGGTCATGGCAGACTGGGTGGGTGTGGCCAAGGTGGGCGTGGTCACCTCAATGTTGCTCATGGAGAGGGATGCCTGTGGGGGCCAGGCAGGGTTGGGGGAGATCCAGGGGTCTCTGGCAGGTGCGGCGGTGGACAGGAGGCTCGTCCTGCAGAGTGAGGTGAGGCAAGGCGAGGCAGGGCGGGGGTGCCATTGTCACAAGGCAAGGTGAGGCAGGGGCTGGGGTGGCTGCTGCCTGACACCATCGGCCCCTGCACACAGAGGCCAGAGAGCACATATGGGTCAACTGTGTCCGTCAGCAGCCACAACCTGCTGGTTCCTTGACCAGTGCACTCTGGGGATCCGCAGCCCACTGCCAGCAGTTCAGAGAAGCCGCCTCTGAACTGGGTGGCCAGCCGACAGCTGAGGAGGCAATGCAGTAGGTCGTGTCCGGTAAAAGGAGAGCATGCGAAGCCAGGAGGAATGGGACTAGGGGAAACCAGAGAAACCAGAGAGAAACCAGCCGTGCTGGGATGCATCCGGCCACGTGGAATCTTGGCGAGTTAGCAGGTGGCTAGTTGAAGAGGGACGGTTGTGATCTCCAGGGCATGGTGCATGTGCCCACAGAGAGGGCTCTGAGTGCCGCCTCTGGCTTGCATGCCATAAGTTCACCACCATTGCCTTAGACAATAACAAGTTGTAATATCAAACTTAGCCACAAGATGTCACCAATGCCATTTAAGGTTTTTTAAGTCCAAAATTTTTATAATCCTTTTTCAAATTTTATTTCTTTTTTGTAAATAAAAACCAAGGTCTTCGATAAGGATAAGAAATATTTTGGTCCCAAATTCTAGAAGCATATAAATCCAGTTAGATTAAGGTTATTCTTTCAGTGTTTTAACTTCCCTGGATAGTCAGTCGCCACTATTCTTAGAGGGATAAAAGTTCCCTTCCCTCTCTCCTCACAGGGGGGAAGATACTTTGGGCAGCTTTTGCAGGAGAAAAAAAATACTTGGGATTAAAGAGGTTCAAATCTCACCCAGTCTCATCTGCGATACTTTGGAGTACCTGGTGGTAAGTTTGACTTTGGCTGTCTGCAGCCTAGTGACAAGCCATATTTCTATGGCCGGTCTTTTGTCCGCCGACTTGGAGGGCTGCCCCGGATCGAGCGGAAGGGCTCCGCCCTCCTGCGATCAAACGAGGATCCCCTCCTTGCTGGTTGCCCCTACAGGGCAACTTTTGATCCTTTCCAGAGTCCCCCAGCGGTGCAAAATCGAACGCGGAAGACGGAGCTCACCTTCCAGCGTCCGCGGCGGCTGCGGTGGTAAACCAGAAGTCTCAGAATGTATAGATTTTAACATAAAAGTTCTGAGAAATGTTTGTTGCTGAAAAAGCACTTTTGGAAACCTGTGGCAAACAAAATGTTTACAGATCAATCAAAAGCAATATTTCTAAGTCCTCATACTAATTGAATCCTATTTCTATATGCTTCTGGTTTTCTACACATTACTGTATACCAGTTGTGAATACACTTACCATTTAGCTATTGTTCAATAAAATAAAAGTGGAGAACTTAAGGAAACTATGAGTAAACAACACAAAATATTAAGTGGTAGAGTGCTTTGACTTAAAATTTAAGCCAGCTGTACTACTCTCCCACTTGTCCTGCTTGACAAGTTCTCACTTTCTTTTTTCAATTGACAGTCTAAGTTAGATGGCCACCAACTCATGGAGAACATTTTACTTGTAATATAACTGTTAATTACTTATGTATTTTATTATAATTTTTATATTTTAGTTACAATGTAATCATTATTTTCATCCAGTATAACTGTTCTCTCCTGAATCAGGTGAGGGGTTGGTTTTTGTTTTTTGTTTTTTGCTATAAGATAGCATTTCTCAGCTACCTTCTGTTTTTTTCCTGATCCCCCTTAGTGACGGCAGCAGCCCTGTTTGATTTCTTTCGTTTACTCAACTGATCGTGGGTTAAAATGACGTTGTTGAATAAACTTTCCTTACCACAGCTTGGCTAATCAAAATCAGCCAGGCTGTGGCTTAAGGTAAATGAAGGTAAATCGGTGATGAGTATCTCAATATACGATATAAAAATAATATATAAATATCATGTTTATTCAGTTTAACAACTTTGATTCCTCCCCGCCCCCCCCCCCTTTCCCTCCCACTTTTGATTAAACCTGCATAACTTCAACTATCTGAAAAGGAAGCTAATCAAATGAGGAAGCGAGTTCAGGGAAACTAAGGCTCTTTCAAAAACAATCCCTTTCGAGAAAAAGAAATCTAGGCTGCACATATGTTCCATTCACACACAAGCTAAGAGAAAGGTGGCATTATTATGACTGAATTGAAACGTCGAAGGGGGGGGGGATGGTAGGAGCGTCAGCGAGCTGGATACAATCCCGCAAAGAGGAAGGTAGGTAATACGAGGCGGTGTGTCGTGCGCGCGCGGCGCGGGGGGCGGAGCTACTTCGCTTTGAACTCGGCGAGTCGAACAGGAGGAGGCGGTGCCGCGTCAGGGCGTCGGGTCCTCGGCGCTGAGACCTGCGAGTGGCTGCTCCGCCTGGCTTGCTTTGCAGGGATCCCGACGGTCGTTTCGGGAAGGAGTTCTCTCGTGGTTTGGGTGTGAAGACCAGTTCCGGCTTGGGAACTGGATGGGAAGCAGCCTCAGCGCGGGTGGCTGCAGGGGCGGTGGGCATGGGGGAGCGTCTTAGCACGGCGAGCTCCCCGCCGGAGCCAGACGGAGCCGCCCCCGAGCCGCGTCTCTCCGGCACGGAGACTCAAACTCCGCTCCCCACAGTCAGTGGAAGGACACCAAGGCCACAGCAAGAGGACGATGCTGGACCGCCGCCTGCTGAACCGCAAGGCCAGGAGGCCGGCGACGGTGGCGGGGCTCCCTTGGAGGAGGGTCCACGTTCGAAAGCACCAAGTAGCAACAGCTGCCGGCTTCCTTTGAGGCCCATCTCCCGTGCGGAGAGCGAGCTGTCCCACGACGGCCCGCCTGCTCCTCCAACTCCAGGAGAGGGCCGACAAGAAGACCCCCCGCCCGCTGTCTCGCCGCCGCCCTCCCAGCCAAGTGTAGTGGGAGCTGGAGGAAAAGGGACCCCTTCCGGAAACGTCGAGGTTGACCTGTATCTTCTGCCCGAATCTTTCTCCGGGCTGATCTCCGGCCCCCTCCTGGTGCTCCCTTGTCGCGTCTGTCTGGAGGAGAAGCCCCTGAAGCCGCTGCCGTGTTGCAAGAAGCCGGTCTGCGAAGCGTGCCTCAAGCGCTATCTCAGCTCGCAAGTGGGTACAGACAGCTTTTGCGCAGTTGCCCTTGGCCTGTCCTTCTCTCCCTTTCCCCGGATCGGTTGGGGGATGCCTCCCCCTCCCCAAAGGCCCTCAGGCGTGGGGTCTTCGCCGGGAGGCTCCTCTCCCTTGTTTGCCTCTTATGGCGATCCCGAGTTGGCCGTTCTTCTGTCTCCTGCGGGCGTCTGTAAAATCCGTGCGGGGATTAGCGCTCGGCACATGTGCAGAATTCTTTCCTCCCGGTCCGTGGAAATCTGCTCTCTACCCGAGCCACAGACACGCCTATATTGTATTTAGGGGATGAAGCTTCCAGTCAGGAAGGCAGGGAAGACTTGGCTTAATCTTCTTCTAATCCTTAGATTCCCGCCGTCTTGTTTTCCTTTTTCGTGTGTGATCTAGGGCTTCTTAAATGTGGAATGCCCCTCCTTTTTACAGCATGTCTTTCCTAAGTTGAATGCCTGAATTCATTTCTTGTTATCCTCCACATGGTTTAGTTAGTATCATCTTTTCTATCAGTACCATGACCACCCCACACACACTTCCTGTTCCAGCCCCTTATCCCTGAATTTCCTGTTCTTCCTTTCTCCTCCCATTTCTCTTTGGTCCAGTACACAGAACTCCTGGGGGGGGGGGGAAACACCCGTGTTTTTAAAAGACACAAATGTTATACTTTCCTTGAAGCCTCCTGCTTCTTTTGTGTGGGGAGAGAGTGGTGATTGGTATCAGCTGAGTGTTTATCTGTCATAGAGGCAGTGCAGTGAGAAGGTAATGCAGCCTTTTTTTGAATTTGAATTTACACTAGGTTGGACCAGATCAGATTAGAGCATGTATGGAGAGATATGGAATAGAAAAGTGGTCCTCTACCTGTGGTCTGCCAATGCCTGGGGGCCCACAGGGGGTCTGCGAAAGCTTGAAGAAATGTTATTTAAATCTTGAGTTAAGTCTTGCAGGTCCCTTGCCATGGTCTGTGGCCACAAAGGGTATTTAAAAGGAGTCCATGGTGAAGAAAAGGTTGAGAACCGCTGGAATAGAAGAAATAGAAAGTGGGGATGGAGGTGGAAACATCTTCAAAGAAGATAACAAATTCTTCCACGTTGTTATGTAGAAAACTACATGGACCTAGCCATGTAGTTACCGTAGTCATTGAGAATCAAGCTCAATTTGAAGGAGACTTTTTAACTTTACTGAGTGCTATGGGAAATGGCATATGACATTTGGCATTTTCTTGTGAATCATTCCTTTCCTTTTTTCTCAATATCAACAATCCATTGCTGCTCTAATGCTTGAGTTCTGTTGCAAATCATATAACTGCAGCTCCTCCTATGGGACGCACATCTAGACACATCTGCAATTTTTTTTAAAATGTTAGCTATACTTTGTGTTGTGTTTTGATTTTCTCTCTCCCAAGGACTGTCTTCACCAGAGTTCAATTCTGCATTTCTTTTAAAGTTAAAATCAGTGCAGGAATAGTAAATTAAAAAAAAAAAGATATAAATGGATCTATTCCTCTGTAAAGATGGGGGGGGGACCTTGAAAGTTATAGTACCGTAGGTGAAAAGGCTTTTCAGTTTTTCCCAAAACTGTTCAAGCTAATAAAGAAAAAAAAGGATGCAAGAGTGAGATTAGTAAAATTAGCAGCCTGAAGTTTGTGTCTTCTATAATGCTAGTTTACTTATCAAAAAGTGATCCTATCAACATATTGCTGACATTTTTGCTTGCATTTTTCCCTTTTATCTCATAGTTGATGATATCACCATAATTTTTACAAGAGAGGTTTGCTGAGTTCATTCTTATCCTAAGGCTCCAGTGTTTCTCAACCTTGACAATTTTAAGGCATGTGGACTTCAACTCAATGCTGGCTGTGGAATTCTGGGAGTTGAAGTCCACATGCCTTAAAATTGTCAAGGTTGAGAAACACTGTGACCTAAGCCAAGGCTTGTTTTAACTATAATTTTCTGAGTTAGGTTCATACATTCTGCTAAGCCATAGCTATGTTTTGCAAATGTGTTGCATAGATTACACAAATCATGTTATGAATTAATATTGTGAACCCAGATAATCGTAATTTAGCTAATAAACTGTGACTTACCAGGTTAGATGAATCAGGTCAGTAATTGACTTTCCAGCTTAAAACTTTTAATCAGTTTTAATCAGGCAAATAACTTGGATATGTATTTAACCAAGATACTCTAAGCTCTATTGAAGATATTTTTATATTCATAAAAATGTTTAAAGATCAACATGATCTTTTATTTCTATTTTCTATATATACATCAAAGTATTTAAAGCTCTTATACTCTCTATTCATGTGAGAATACTCCTAGAACAAATTACAAATATCAGAAATAAAAGAATCTTCAGACAAAATAAAGAAAAGAGTGTAAGATAAAATAATTTTTATACATATTAACAGCCCTATGATATAGGAGCAAGCTATTCAAGAGTGATGTGGCTAAGTAATCTAATAGTAGTCTATAAAGAAGAATTCCACCTCCATATTTATATCAAAGAATCTGAGACACTACAGGAGTTTTATCTACATGATTGACAAAAAACATGTCCTCTTTATGACTACATTTTTGTGGTATCTTTAAACTGAATCGTTGGGATATGAAATTGGATGAAAGGTTAATTAATATTTTACATTTGTTCTCTTGTTCCAGTAAAAATAAAATCCTGTGCTCAGTTTTTGTTTTGTTTTGTTGCTAGTCTTGATGGTCTTCTTTTTTTAAAAGTGTATTATTTAACTTGATAGAAAATTCAGGTCTTTCAGGATAGGTGGAATGTTGGCTTGCTGGTAATGCCTACTAATAGGCAGACTTCCTCATTTTATTCTATAAAATTTCCCAATAATTTTTGTTTTCCTAATTTCCCCAGAGGCTGAGGGAACTGGGCAATTTTGAGACTCTAGTGACATTATTCCAAACAGTTGACCAAGAGGCAGGGTAATTTATCTTGAAAGATATTTTTGTGCTTAATTTTAATTTTAAACAGATACACACAAATACCTGAATTATAAAAAGGAATTTAATTTCATAGTGATTTTTTGGTCACAATGGAAAAATAGTTATTGTATGCTTATATAGTTTAGTTGTATGTTTACTATACTGCTGGCACTTAAGTTTGTATGTTGAAGGAAAGTTAAAAATAGTATATAACATGACAGTAATATTATTCCTTCAATCTTACAACATCTTTGGGAATAGGTCAGTGTTACATTGTTTATCATTTGTGACTTTTCTTTGTTCTAGAAAGTACAGAGAGGTGTTTTCCATAACCCAGCGAACACAATAAAATATTTAAAATACTAATTGGGGAAAGGGGGTATCAGTTACTGATAAATGTCAATTAAAGCTCATACCACCGTATACAGTAGAATTACGGGTACAGATGTTGATTTTATCTAAGTATCAAGCTTTCACTCACTCCAAATCTTAATGGTATACGTCTTTACTGAAATAATAATAAATTGAACTGAATAGGATTGCTTTTTTTTTTTTTTTTGCATCTGAAGTGACAATTACTTTTAAGGTGCTTAACCTTAGAGACAATCTGTTGAGATGGCTTATCTGTATTGATCACTTGAAGACCCTTGAAATGGGGCTGGGGCTTGAAGGACCTTTGAATACTAGAAGCACTAAATCAAGGTCATAGTGACCAACAGTAACACATACTGTTTTAGACAATTAGGGTTGTAGGTCCTCATCTCGCAAAGTCCTGAGCAAATGTTTGTTTAAATATACTAAATAATTAAACAAAAAGGTTTTTTTTAATATTTGAAAAATATGATGTGCACTGCGTTTAGCCCAGTGGTGGGATTCAGCCAGTTCGTACCACTTCAGCTGAACCAGTAGCTATTTTTTTGTTACCCAAGCCCAGAATGGCATCCATACAGAGAACCGGTTATTCTCATATTTGAATCCCACCACTGGTTTAGCCCCTGTCTTGCCTTTTTTGTATTCTGTAGAATGCACCTTAGAAATGCCTTCTAGATTAGGTAGGATAAAAGTGCATGTAATTGGTTCTTGTCTCATTTTTGATACACAAAATTGTGTCAGCTCCTTCAGCATAGCTTGGCCAGGAAATAGGAAATATTTTGCATGATAACATTATATCAGCAGTATAGTTCAAAACATGGGTTGGTCATGTGCTGTCTTGAACCAAGTAATAGGAAATAACTGGATTATACAAGGCAATAATACACAATAAGAAAATGAGACATCACAATAAGCCATAATTATATTTGTTTGCTTTGGGCATAGCATTTTATGTGCATCCAGCTATTGTGGTATTTGACAGGCATAAAACAATGTGTGAAACTAGGCAATTGTATTTTTTTTTCAACAAAATATAGTTAAAAAAACCACAGCTTAATTTAACATGTGAACCTACACGGTGCCTGTAATGAATTGACCCTTGTATGCCTTAGATCAGGGTTTTCCAACCAGGGGTGCTTGCAAACCCTGGGGGTGAGATGATATTCCAGGGGGTGTGAAAACTTGGGTTTAGAAGTTTCAAAATTACAGTGTATATGCATAATTTGTTATTTTGAACTTTTGTAAGGAGTGCGAAAATATATCAGAAGCATTCTGGGGTGCAGGGTATAGAAAAGGTTGCCTTAAATATAGTGATTAAACAAGGAATGAATGTTATGGCAAGAATATTCTTAATTTTTTCTTTAGCTATTTCTGGTGAGAAGAATAAGACATACTTAAGATCTCAGCTAGAAGTAATTCTAAAGCTACTTCAGTCTTCAGGATTATGTCAAGTGATGGGGAAAATGTCCAAGTCTATCTATGGCAAACATTTTCAAAATGTTTCACTCTTTAATCAAATTTAATCAAATCAAATTCTCAAGGAAAAAGATTCCCTTTCCTGTTCTGTTGCTGACTAATGACTGTGTCAGCAGAAACATTTCTGTGTTTTGTGTATGCGTATGAATTACACACACTTTGTTTAATAATAATAGGTTTAACTCTTCCAACTATGCATATTCT